TGTAAGGATGGTACCATTTGCTGGCTCTGTTTGTGTCTGTGTTTCCCTAGTGTTTCCTCTTCAGTTTAATTGGTGCCACCCTTGTCTCGTCACAGCTGTTTGTAATCACGTCTCGTCTTGTCCCTGTATTTAAGCCATCTGTTCTGTTTTGTTCCTCGTCGGGTCGTATTCGTTGGGTCTCTGTGTTCTCCTGCGTTCTCCTGCGTCTCCCCTGAGCTCCCTGAGTCCTTCCTGAGTTTCCCTATGAGTCTTCTGTGTTCACGTAAGTTTTGCTGCCACGTCAGCTGTTTATTTTTGTTCTTTATCCACTATTAAAATATTTATTTTTATATCTGCCGAGTTGAGTCCTGTCTGCAAAACTGGGTTCGTCCCTGACTACCAAATCATGACATTACGACCCGACCAGATTTCAGAACCCAGCGGGCAGGATTCTCTCGGCAACTTACCTTTTTTCTTTTTCTCCTCCGAGCCTCTCGAGATGAGCAAGCCCACAATCCGGTGCGGCAGGTTCTGCACCAGGCCCGTCCGTCCCCAAGGACGTTATGACCAGGAGGTGGAAATCCTGTCCTCACCGCTCCTGGTCCTCGAGGAAAACAGGGCTCGGCACCGGGGAACCCACCAGGCCCCTTTTTCTGAGTCCGCCTCGCCCGGCTATTCAGGGTGGACGTCGGGGGAGGACGAAGAGATCGAGGACGAATTCTGTTTTGTTCCTGTCCCCCGACTCTCCCGCCGTCGCCGGGAAGGAAGAAAGCGGTCCCGGGGGCAGTCCGCGGCGACCGGCCCGGTCTCGTCGGCTGAGCAGAATCTTAGAGTTGGTTCTGGTGTTTTTGTGGGAGCGGGTCCCGCCGCCTCACCTCACAGGTTTCCGGTGGGGGCGAGATCCAGCGTCCCGTGGGAGCTCCGGTCCACTCCTGCTCGGTTCGGTGGGTCCGGTCCGGTTGACGTTACAGGGGCGGGTTCCGTCGCCTCACCTTCCAGGTTCCTGGTGGGGGCGGAATCCGGCCTCCCACAGTCACTCCGTGCCGTGGCTGTCCAACCCAGTCTGACCGAACCTCCTGAGCAAATTCCCAGTGACTCTGTGGGGGCGTTTTCCATCGCCCCACCTCCCAGGTTTCCGGTGAGGCTGACACCTGACACCACACCCTCATTTAAAGACACTTGCCCGTCAGTCACATATTCATCCCATGAACTTGCACTAATAAACCAGACTTTACTAGATTCATTTCTCAATGCTAAACATAACCCGGACTGCTCAGATGTTATATTTTCCCTGATGGAAGAATTTTTAGTTTCACGTCCCGGTCTCATTCTGCTCCCTGAGTATAATCGTTTACTAATAGAAATTAGGACTCTCATCACACCCAAGGTCACTAATTCACATTCTGAACCCATAATCCATCCTGCACCTTTTGGCACCACCGTTTCTGAACACTCCTCTGCTCCTCTGACTCCCGCACCCATCACCTTCGCCGCTGTTCCGCCTGCTGAGCGCCTCGCCGTTGGTGCACCTGCTCCTGTCGCCTCAGAGGACTCAGCATCGGTTTCTGTTTCCCGCCGCTGCCGCAGAAGATCAGTTCCTGCCGCCGCCGCAGAGGAGTCGGTTCCTGCCACCACTGCAGCTCTCCAGGCTCCCACGCCATCTGCTGCAGAGCCCCAGGCCTCTCTGTCGTCAGCAGCAGCAACTCCCCTGGCCTCCCCGTCGTCAGCAGCAGCAACTCCCCTGGCCTCCCCGTCGACAGCAGCAGCAACTCCCCTGGCCTCTCCGTCGTCAGCAGCAGCAACTCCCCTGGCCTCTCCATCGTCAGCAGCAGCAACTCCCCTGGCCTCTCCGTCGTCAGCAGCAGCAACTCCCTTGGCCTCTCCGTCGTCAGCAGCAGCAACTCCCCTGGCCTCTCCGCCGACAGCAGCAGCAACTCCCCTGGCCTCTCCCTCGTCGCCTGCTGCCAACTCCAAGGTCCCCTCGTCGCCTGCTGCCAACTCCAAGGTCCCCTCATCGCCTGCTGCCAACTCCCAGGTCCCCTCGTCGCCTGCTGCCAACTC